CTGTTATTAAAAGAAATTTAGTGGGTTACACACTGATGTCTCTCTTTTTTCTCCCCATTTTACCAAAGACCCATATTCTATTACTATAGAAATGAATAGATAAATACTGGGAATAAAACCTCATCCCGACCCATTGTTTCCTCTGCTCCTTCTAGCAATTTCAGTGAAGAAATTAAAACTTTGTGGAAGATGGCCAAGACCTGGGAGATCAGTATTAGGAAAGCTGATAAAGAAAAAAACTTCTAGTAATATCAAAATATGCAAAGGAAACACAACAGAAATGTGATGTGGGAGACCATCAAGGAACCTGCAGAACTATTTTAATGACTGTGAACTTGGGACTTCTCAATGGCTCCCAGGCCATGGATGTGATGGTTCTAATGTGCAATGCGTCCTCACTACTCTAAAACTAGATGTCACTGTCACTAAAACTAGGTGTGTGGGAGGAGGAGCGAAGGTGCTTTCATTTTCTTCCTTTAGGAAGGGGATAAGGTTCTAAAATTTTAGCTTCTCTTTCCTTTCTCAATTACTTTTGGTCTCTTCCACCAGATCAGGAAAGTAAATGTTTCTGTCTCTCAACTTCTACCAAAAGTCCTCAGTGATGCCACAGCATTGAAAGGAAGTAAAAGATATAAAAGAGTCAGAGAATGGCTCATTATGCTAGGAACTAGAAGGACAATTAAAAGTTGAAATAAAATGTTTTTAGAATATGTATTCCACAGGGAACTTAGCAGAGAGGGGAGCTGTGGTTGCAGAGAAGGAGCTGTGGGGAAGAATGACTAAGAAACACACCAAGAGCAAGTAATTGCCCTCTGGGGATGCCTAAATTCTGAAACGTTATCCGCTAAAACCGACAAAGTAAAACCTGCATCCCCAAGAAGAGGATGAACAACTGTATCAAGGACTTTCCAAGAGGTGTACATCTCCACACTCAATATGTCCTGTGCATGAAGTGAGCACTTGAGCACTCAGCTTTGGTGAGTCACCCACAAGGAAGGCTAAGAGAAGGTGGTGGGAGGATAAAGCCCAAATCCCTGGGAGCACCCAGGACTGTTTTGTGATCCTCCACTGTGTTTTTCTCACTGGTTGTAGTTGGAGGCTCTTTGAATTCTTCCCAGGACCTAGATGACGCATATCAGTGTTTTCAAGCCACTTGATAGAATCCTAGTTCTTGTCAGTCATCAAATCAACAGCATAAACTGAAGTGCTCAGTATATGTAGATACACATTTTAAAAACTAAAGAATGGAAGTCAAAAGGCTCTTTTCTTGTCCTTGAGGCATTTCTATTCTGTTGGAGACAAGAAGGAATAGAGAAGGGCTAGGATTGGTATAAGAACCAAAGATATATATATATAGACCTTCATCTTTTCTTGATAAAGAAGATGGTGAATATTCTCAACCATCGGGAAGCATAATCCCTATGGAACTAGGGCAAGTTTGGTCCCAGATCTGGCAGAAAACTTGGTGTTAGGGGTCATCCCAATCCAGGAATTACCAGGGACAAACTTTGGAAGGAGGCTTACGTATCAGAAGGCTACTAGCCTTTCAGCCTTGGCCCAAGTAGTTTTGCCATTTCTACTGGTGTAGTCCTCTTCCCCGTTTCCTTAGTCTCTGGTTTTGAGTCAATTAGTCCCGTTCATTGACACCTCCCCAGTCAGCTCTGTGTGCAATCTGAATCCTTTGAACCCAAAACCCACTAACTCATCTCATTGCCTACAGTCCCACTAGCTATGCATGCTTAGAGCAACCAAAACCAAAGGATCTATTTTTCCCTTCTATACTGTTTTAAACCACAGATTATGTATATTCACTTATCACAAATCTTTAGAGCTGGAAGAAATCTAACCTAATCTAACTTGCTCATTCTGTAGATGAAGAAACTGTGACTTTAAAATGTAGCAATGTACCCAATGGATACGTAGATGGTTTACTGATACAACTTGAAGCCCAGGCCTCCTTATATGAATCTTAGCATGCCTTAAACCTCATCTACTTTTTCAAGAGGCAAGAGCACTATTTCTTGTTTTTGTTTTGTTTTGTTTTTTTGTTTCTACTTTATTATTTCTACAGATCTGCTGAGCTGATTACTTAGCCAGACTCTATGTCTCCTCTCACCAGATGTCTTCATCAAGCTTCCTCTGAAAACTCTCTGATAAGGTCATGATGACTCACTCTTTCTAGTCTCCCTGCAGGCTGAGTTCTGAAGAGGGAGACCAGACCGATTGATTTGTTACCCCAGTACCTTCCACTGGACCAGGCACTGATCAGTGCTCAGTACATGTTTACCAAGGTGAGAAAAGTGGAATAAAATTCTCTGTCCCAAAAAGCTAAGAACAAGGCCACCTATCAATAAAAATAGTTTTTCATCATCTAAAAACATCACCAAAATGTATTGGAATAAAATAGTACTAAGCTCGCACTGTGTGCAGAGCATGCACTACCCACCCGTCGAGTACAGGTGAATCCTCTACTTTGATTCTTCACTATATTTAACAAGCTCTCCGTATTTAGGTGGTTTAAGCAACATAATTTATTTCAAGGGGCTTTATGACCCACATTCTGTTAACTTTCTGACCTTTATAGCACATATTCATATTGTTTCTTGTCCCCATGGCACTGGGTAGACTTTACCTCTGTAATTTGGACTTGTTGAGCATAGTAACAGCCACTTATGTTTACTTAGCACTTTACAAAGCACATTCATATTCATTTGTTCATCTGATCTTACTTAAGATATTGTGAGATAAGCATTATTATTATTCATGCATTTCAAATGAAGAAAGTGAGGCTCAGAGAGGTCTAGTAAGTTGCACATAGCAGACTAATGGAAGAGGCAAACTCAAACTCAGACCCCTTGACTTCTCATTTAAAGCTTTACCCACACACCACATGTTTTTCTCTTCAAGGATAGATGGCTGTCCTGAGCTTCCTGACTGAGGTTCCTCAGGTGCCTCCCTTCCTAGACCACAGCTTTTCAGAACTCCTTCCCGCCCTTCACTGACGGGCTTGGAGAGAGCTAGATGTGCAGGGCAGCCCTGACCCTTGTTCCAGCGTAGTCTCCAGGTAGATCTGAGACCTGGGTAAATCACCTTAGCCCTATTCCTTGGTTTCCTTGTTTGTAAAATGAAAGGAATGAAACACTTAGCCTCTATATTTCTTTTCTTTTTAAACAGTTGTGGTTACCTTCTGGAGGGTATCTCAATCCATGAGGCCAGCTCTGAAGGTGAAGATTCTCTCTGTAGTAACAAGCAGCCTACCGATCACAGTAGATCAGCATTGAGTTACTTCTGCTGATGCAAGGGAACCATCTCCCTGGGGCGGTAGTCAAAATTCCAGCCCCTGACTCTGACCCTAGAAACTGACCTCCAACCTTGCAAACCCAAGGCCAGTTTCTATTCTTAGCAGTTTCTACAGTGACACCTTCTGGCCACTGTAGGGCCAGGGCTGAATGGTGACAAGATGCCAACTCCATCCAGGTCCTCTCTGCTCTCTCCCTCCACCAATGTTTCCAGCCAAAAGAAATATAAATTGAATTATGCATTTCAGCTCTCTTGCATTTTACTCTACGTTTCTGCTCTGGTTTTCTTAATGCTGATGTACAGCATTTGTCCTCTGGCTGTAGTGGCTTGCACAAACATGCTCTCATTAGATTCTCAGATTTGATCAAAATCCACTTTTTTTTATTTATTATTTGATCCTCTGGCACGGCTGATTTTCTAAATGCAAATTCCTAATATTGAAAGGCAGAATTTC